GCAAAAAGCGATGCTCAGGTATCGTCCACTATCCAACGTGCGCAATAACCTTAAATAATTAACGTCATTTAACACTATATGAGGCATTCACCACTGTATTTTTGACAAAACGATTTTAGGCTCTTGCGTTTCGCGCGATATGATACAATTGTTATCGTTGTGCGTTTGTATCATAATAAGTTCGTGTCGCGAACTCACGACGCGCTTGTAATCCTCGCAGAAACCTAGCAACACGTTGAGGGGTACGCAAAAGTTGAAATCGCCGATCGGCGAATGAGTTATTGCTGATAAGTCCCATCCAGCGTTCTGTAATATCTTGCCTCTCTCGACCGTCAGCGATGCGTAATTCTTGATCGTGCTCGTTTATTCCGACGTTTCTGCTTCGATCGATCTCCACGTCAAGCTCGTAGCAAATCTCCTCGAACATAAACGCCGCGCAATTGTTCATCAGCCTCGTCGCCGGCGCGCCTTCTCCCTCCGCGCCCGACGGTTTCTTCGACTCGAGTCTGCCCTCGACGTAGAGAAAACTGTCGCACGGTAACGTGTACAGATCCTGCTATTGTATAGGAATTCGTATCTTGTCGCTATTCCCGAACGTGGTATTGGCGTAAGGGTTGTACGTGTGAGTCTCGATCTTGACGATGCGATCGTCGAAGACTGGTTCTCCGCCGATGCTTAAGATGTCGCTCATTTCGCTTTCACAGAGAAGCGGTTTTCGGCACGACGAAACTTAAGGAGTGCAAGAAAGCAGCGTTGGCGACGGTCAACCTTCTTGTCCCCTTCCTCCTCTTCTTCGCGTCTAGGGGCGACGCGACGGCGACGACGGGCGCGTTACTCGTGTTCGACTCGTTCACGACAAGTATCGCGCGCACGTTTCTCTACGTCTCGAGGAGGCTTCCATTCATACTGGTGACGAGTCAAGACTCATCGCTGAGCGGCTACGGGCGCCAATTTTCAATCGTTATGATTTGGACCGCTCTGGAGACGTGCTGGGGATTTCGTCTCTCCGTGGCAATCGGCACTGCATCCATTGAGCGAGATTCCAACATCGCTCTGGAGTCGTATGTACTGTGTTAGAGTGGCGTAAGGTGCGAGGTCTGAATAGCTCAGTGGTAAGAGCAGTTGCCCGGAAAGCGAAAGACTCGGGTTCGATTCCCGATTCAGCCACTTGTACCTCGCATATTTTTTCAGACCCGCAAATGTTGTTTTCTAACAATTATTTGTCGGGCTGAGCAGTGTGTAAAACGCCCTACACAGATACGACAGTGCCGCTGCCACGGAAGAGATGGATGCTTGGTTCGTGCCTTCTCCCGCCTTAAATCCCCCCCTCGCTTCACTCACACGTCTTCGTCACACGTGCAGACGAACCGTGATCTTCTCGCCGCGAAAATCGATCAATCTTCCGTTCTGATCCACGATGCGCACGTTTATATCGGTGATGGTCCGCACGATGATCGGGAGGTAAATGATCTGCGCCGGGATCTCCGATACTTTATATCCGGGCGGAATGTTGGGCGCGAATTCGTGTATAGTATGCGCGGATTTGTCGTTGTGATATACCCCCGTCGTGACGTTGCACTCTACGCGAATAAGTTTAACGGCCATAATATTTACCGGTTTATCGGACGCATACCATTTATTCGGTTGTAGTATATGAGACGAGAAACCCAATAGCGAACCGATGTTATCGGGTTTGGTGAAATTTACTCGATACGCGCACTTGATCTTGCTTCTCATGGTGTTATCGTTACTGCGAAGCGCTATGGAACGTTCACCCTTATTGCTATCTTCGTCATCCTCGAAATAGTCATCGTCGCGGTCGTCGTCGATGTTGTATATATAATCGTCGTCGCACGTTTCCGGTTCTCCGTCTCCATACTTCCGCTTCTCCACTCTCGCTCGTCGTTTGCGACGAATCGCGGCTTTTAGATACGCGCTTATAGCGCTTAACTCGTAAAATCCAACCGGAATAACCTCGTCATTATCGCCAAAGTATAATTTATTATTCGTAGAATTTACGTTCGGTATCGTGTTGTAGGTCTTGAAATTGGTTAGACCTTGAAGCCGGGGACCAACCATGAGAGCCGGGGAACTCAGAAACCCGGGAACGTCGTCCAGGAGGACGAAAAAACGCAAGGAGGTCGAAAAACACCGAAGGAAGGCAGCGTGCGAATGCAGGCCAAATAAGGGCAAGACACGATCTAGTAAGAGGGCAAATAAACTGTTAGTACAAATGAGCCCGAACATTGCGCTAACCATGCGGCGAAAACGCATAAATATAATGTACAAAATTTATAGGTTAAGACTATTGTATTGGTTGATCGTGCATACGCTCGACACAATACACACGACGTATACGTTACTTCATTTGCACAAAATTTTAAATGTAATATATAAGCGAAACATGAAAAATAGGCTAAGTTAATTATAAATATAAAAATTACTCTCCTCGTAGGTCAGGATTGCATCTCCCAACACCCGCCTCAAATGAGCTTGAGAGACTTGACGGCAGCCTCCCATATTCCGCCGAAATGAGGCGCTGAAGGTGGGTTGAATCGCCATGTAATTCTATCGGCTGCGAGCTGCCTGACTATCGTTCGTTGTTCAGGACTGCTGGCAGCGAAGAAGGCCCGTAGCTGTGTGTCAGCTCCCACGAACGTCGTCCCGCAGTCACTGTGGATGGTTTGGCACAATCCGCGACGAGAGGTGAAACGACGCAATGCCGCCAAGAAGGCCTCCGCCGTATAGTCCAATACGACCTCCAGATGCACTGCCCTTGTTGAAAGGCAGATGAATACGGAGATGAAAGCCTTGTACGCTCGATGGCCTCTTCCTTTTGTGGTCCGCAGCAAAATAGGTCCGGCGTAGTCGACGCCGGTGTGTAAGAAGGGTCGAACTGGCGTCACCCTTTCGCGAGGCAGGCTGCCCATCAGCTGCTGTGGCGTCGCCGCCCGCCAACGCACACAAGTCACGCAGCGAAGAATTTGTTGTTTTACGATGGCTCGGCCTCTTGGGATCCAATAACGTTTCCAGATCATCCCCAGGGTCATCTGTACTCCGCCGTGCAGCGCCCGACGGTGACACGCCTCGACTATTAGTCGAGTGAACGTCGATTCGCTAGGCAGAATGATGGGGTGGCGCTCATCGTAATCCAGGATGGCGTGCTTGAGATGTCCTCCGACGCGGAGAATGCCCTGGCGATCTAGAAAAGGACTGAGTCTTATAAGTGGACTAGATTTACCTGGTCCGTGGCTCTTTCGTATGGCCTTTAGTTCGTCCTTGTACTTGGTAGATTGGACCAGCCGGAGCCACAATAGGCGTGCGTCCTCCAGCTCGGCTGTCGATAAAACATTACCGGAGCGTTGCTCAGTCTCGTCCGCCGCTGGACCGGCATTTCCTCGTCGCGGTAGCTATCGTCGGCACCACACTGTCACACACAGCAGTCGATGGTAGGAAGAGAACCGCAGCAACTCAGCGGGTTCTTCGCCAGACGAAGGCTGAGCTTTGGCCACATGAACGCGGGTTCGTTCTTCGGGCAGATTCTCATAGGTAACCAGCCCGCTTGAAACGGGCCAAGAAGATTCCCCAAGCTGGAGCCACGGGAGACCTTGCCACCATAGATGATGATTTACCAGTTCACCAGGAGAAAGTCCTCGTGAGGCGCAGTCAGCTGGATTATCCCGTCCAGATGTGATGCCATAGAGCGCCAGGAACAGTAATCTGGATTTCGGCCACACGGTTTGCGACATAATTCTTCCAGCGTGAGGGATGTCTCCGTATCCAACCCAGAGCGACCGTGGAGTCCGACCACAGGTGCATTGGGGTCTTCGATAAGTCGAGCATTGTCCGAACGTGGGCAGCAAGCCGGGCGAGAAAAGCGGCAGCGCTGAGTTCCAGACGAGGTAGAGTAATCTGTCGAATAGGAGCGACTCTAGTTTTAGCGGCTATCAAGCAAGTGTGCCACTCATTGTTGATTTCGGTCCTCAAGTAAATGACGGCAGCATAGGCACGCTCGGAAGCGTCGGCGAACCCGTGGAGCTCAGCCTCGCTATCGAGCGAGCGCGGGCCGATCCATCGAGGTATCCGGATTTGTTCGAGCAGGGGGAGCTCGCTTTGATAATCTTGCCACCGTTTGGCGGATGCTTCTTCGAGGGGGTCGTCCCAATCGATGCCTTGCAACCAAGTAGCCTGAAAGGCGATTTAACAGTTCACAACAGCGGGCGCCAGCCATCCTAGCGGGTCGAAGAGTCGCGCTGTTAAGGAGAGAACGGATCGCTTTGTTATGTTCGCCACCGAGATCGTCCGCGTGGCGAATGAGAAGCAGTCCGTCCCGTGATGCCATTGAAGTCCGAGTGTGGCGTGGGTTTCATGTGGTCGCCAGGCACGAGGCTCGCGTTGCATTTGATGTTTGATAGGCACTTCCGCAAGTATAGAAAACTCGTTCGCCGACCATTTCCGTAGAGGGAAGCCGCCCGCCGTGCAGAGACCTGTCAGCTGGCGCTGAAGCTCCTGAGCCTCGTCGAGGGTGGCTGCACCCGTGAGGACGTCATCCATATAGACGTCGCTGCAAATAACGGATGCTCCTATAGGATATCGCTGCTCTTCGTCGCTGGCGAGTTGTTAAAGAATACGCATAGCCAGAAAGGGCGCACAGGATAGCCCGTAAGTAACCGTATTTAGACGGTATTCCTGGAAATCGGCCTGCCTGTCGTAGCGCCATATGATCCTTTGCAAGTCACGGTCGTCAGGATGGACTAAAATCTGACGGTACATTTTTTCCACATCTGTGGCCATCACGTACCGATGTCGACGCCATCGCAGAAGCACATCGCAGAGAGGAGGCAGCAAATTAGGGCCGATCAGGAGGCGTCGGTTGAGCGAATCGCCTGAAGCTGTGGTCGTTGAGCCGTTGAAGACGACGCGTAGCTTTGTCGAGGTACTCGACTCCCGCATGACTCCGTGGTGGGGCAGATGGCTCACGCGCTCTCCGGTTGGTTCTGATTGACTCACTGGGCCCATGTGGCCCAAGGCTTCATACTATTGCATGAAGTCTTCGTAGAGTTGATGCAGGCGATGATCCCTATCAAATCTTTTCTCCATGCCGGAGAATACTCGCTGAGCGGAAAAACGCGTTGAAGAGAGGTCCGGCAGCGGCGCGACGACCGGCAACCGAACGACGTATCGTCCCTCAGCAGTGCGAGCGTGTGTTTCGTTGTAAAAATTCTCACACTATTGATCCTCTGGAGTAAGTGGCGAGCCAGAGACGGGCAGTTCTTCTTGCTGCCAGAATTTACTTACGAGAGAAGACAATTCTTCGTCCGTTTGGCAATGGTACGACTGAGCGTTGCGTTGCATCGTTTCGCCAGTTGTTCCCGCGGGTCCAGACAGAACCCAACCTAATGACGTCCGTTGAGCTATAGGTTCGTGGGGAGCTCCCTTCCGAAGGCCTAGCTGGGGGATTTCGGCGTAGACATCCGCGCCCAGCAGAATGTCCAACGGGTCCGGTTCCTTAAAGTCAGGGTCGGCGAGCTTCAGTCCTCGGAGGTGTGTCCACGCTCGTCGATCTCTTTTACACCATCCGCTTACGGTGGTGATCTGAGGAAAGACTATTGCCGTCACAGTTATCGGCGGTCCTCGTCCTTGAGGTAAAATCTGGAACTTGACTCGGCTGCTAACGCGACCCGACCGCTTCCCACCGACGCCGATTATTCGGATAGAAGCTGCTTGGCGAACTAATCGCAATCGTCGTGCCAGTGAAGAAGTGATCATCGATGAGTCGGAGCCCTGATCTAGAAGGGCACGCGCGATGTGCACGACCCCGTCTTGATCTGTTACGCGAACGCGAGCTGTAGCTAGAAGCACTGTTGCTTCTTGAGATCGCTGCGCGAAGTGCAAGGATGTCGCGACTTCGCTTACTTTAAATGTATCATGCAACGTCGTGTGGTGACGCGCGCGACACGATGAGCATGTTTTCTGCGAGGTACACTCACTTAGCTTGTGCTTGCCGAGGCAGTTGAAGCAAAGATTGTTAGCTTCAACGTGTTGTCTCTTTTCCGCGGCGGTCTTGGCCTTGTAGCCATCACAAAACATGATGTAGTGATCTTGATTGCAGATAGAGCACTGTCCGCGTTTGTTAGCGGGTTTATGAGCGTGAAGTACGCGCGTCCGACGTCCCGAATTTAGACTTGATTTCGCAGGGCTAGTCTCCGGTTGACTAGACTGCAAGGATTCTAGCGTATGAAGCCGACGGTCTATGAACTGTTGCAACGCGGTATACGACGGAGGTTCCGTGGCATCACTGATAGAACTTTCCCACTCGCGACGTGACCGGGAATCAAGGAGATCCACGACGAGATGAACGAAGAGATCCTCGCCGCGCGTTATCGGCCGTCCGATGCTTTCGAGAGCGCTGACGGTGCTCATCACGCCGTGATATAATTTTCTTAATTCGGTAGCGGGTTCACTTTTGAGTTTCTGAAGAGCCGAAAATCGCGAAATGTAAGAACGAACTAGAAGACGTTTATTCTCGTAATATCCTGTCAGGATTTTCCACGCGCGATCGAAATTCTCGGCTGTCGTCGGCAAACTGCGGTTTAATAGTTCCGCCTCACCTTTCAAGCACGTCTTCAAGTAGTGAAGCTTCTCGACTTGAGCTGTGGAGGCATCTTTCACGATGAGTGAGTTGAAGAGATCCCGGAAGAAAGGCCACTCTTCGTACCGACCCGAGAATTGTGGCAGCTGGATCCGCGGCAAAGTCGTGCACGATGTCTGCAAGGGATTCGCGCCGACGGCAGGCGCTTCCGCGCTGACCTTATTCTTCAGGAAGCGGAGTATGTCAAGGAACATACTCTTCTGTGCGATGTAAGCTTCCTCCGTAAGGGACTGCATGTCCTTCTTCAGGTAGTCATGTCCTGCCAGGGCGTCCCTGTATGCGGCGAGGAGCTTGTGTTGAATGTCGAATTTTTCCCAGTTGGATTCGAGGGCTTGTAGACGCGCTTCCACTAAGCCGATCGT